TCCCAGACTTGAGCAGCGAACGTTTCTTCTTGTCGATCTCCAAAACGCTCTCTTCCATTGTGGATGACAAGCTATAGTCCACCACGTTCTCTTCTGAAACTGGTGCGACTATCTCGTGGATCTTTCCTTCCTTCAATTCGGACAGGAAAAGATCCCACGTCATCTCCGAGAGATTTACTATCTCCTCGGCAAATGTCAAAACAAGTTGGAGAGCCTCAACTGAGGATGCCTCCGGCATTTTGTCTTCGACGAGCTCAAATAACTCGTTCGTAGGTCCGTCCTCTTGGACCGAGAATGATCCAAGGGTCACTCGTTTCGACGTGCCCTTGATCGTCTTAATACTTCTAGTGCTCGTTGTTCGAGTCACCACGACCTTTTGACCTGGAAGAAGGTGTCGTTGCTATCTCAGCTAACGCACTCCTTCGAACCGCACCAGGCTCATGGTTCTGTGCCGGTTCTTGTGGCGCTTGACTTCCTGTCAGACCACCCTCAACTGCCACAGGCTCTCGTCTCTGTGCAGGAACATTGGACGCATGACTGCTTGTCATATAAACATTCACTACACCATTCTTTTCGACCTGGGTAGGAATATGTGTCACCTGGCTTTCTGCCAGGGCACTTCCAACTACACCACTCCTTTCGAGCTGGGTAGTTCCTGGTGACGATTGACATACCTTCATCGCACCCTTTACTGTGTTGGACACAGCTCAGCCACATAAGCCTCTCGCAAGATCACATCCTTTCCGGTGTCTTGCGTAGAGCTAGCGACTGTGCGTGTACTCCAGTCTATCGGTTGTTGGTGTTTAGCCATCCAAGGCATGCCTAGGATGAGATCATACGGACTCTCCATACCTAGCAATGTGAACTTCTCTTTACAAGACAAGTCACTAAAACTGAGGGCAAGTTCAACTTGAACTCTCTCCGCTTTAACGAGCGCGCTGTTCGCTAAACGAACGATCGCCTCTTCTCGCTTGCCATCCTGGCAAAGCGACTCATAACTCGCCGGACTCTTTTTCAGAGCCGCGAGTTTCACAAAGTTCTGTGATGCACCTAATCAACGAGCAGGGTCATCACTTGGTCATAACCTCGTACTCGAGCGCTATAGACCAAAAGGGTTGAGGTCCGACCATTCGGTGCCTCAGGGACTATGCTACCCATTTGTTCGATCACTCTGAACTTAGGGGTAGTTTCAGAGTCCACGACAGTAGGGCATACCGCCCCTACTGCACTCCCACATTTCCCGACTTGTCGGAGGTTAGATCTATACCCGTGCGACGTGCACGGTTCTCGAACCACCCTTCGGGTTGAGAGACTTTTTGCTGGCTGCCTTAGCACCAGCAGCAAGTTTGGCGTAGCAGCGAGCCATTATATGGCCTCGCTTGCCGCTCTTGTAGAAGACCACGCCTGCATTGTTCAGCTCCATTGTAGTGGCATCCGACCTCTCGGTCGAAGGCTTGTGATAGGATGTCACCGAGGCGCTGTTGTAGGATTGCTCCTCAATTAAGGCAATGTCAATTGCCTCTTTCATCGTCTTCGGCACCTTTCTAAAATGGGCCTGATGCGATGGACTATGCCGTAGTCCGTTCATGAAAGTAGGCACCGTAATGTGTTCCGATATCGGACCCACATTAATGGACGCAGACAGCGAACGCATCTCCTGCACATACTCTTGCAGAGATCGTTTCGTCTGTCGTGCTCCAAAGAAGCGCGTCATAAGCAACACTTCGTTGTTAGGCGGCTGATACATGGAACTAATCTTTGATTTAAAGATCGCCCATGATGGAAACGCATCAGCGCTTGCCATAAACGCAGAGTAAAACCACTCTGACGCTTTGCCACGCAAGTTGGACATGGCATACGACGCCATTCTGGTGTCGCCTTCGATGAGCTGCGCCATACCGCATTACTCAACTGCTATTAGCCAGTGAACAATTGTGTGAGGAATAGTTCCATCGAACTTCGGAGGGCTCATCCGAATGGGCCTCGGTTGATTAGGCCGGGCAGAGAGCGTCTCATTCCGTGCCTGCTCAAGCCTAAGCTCATCCTGAGTCTTATTGATGGACTCAGCGGTGGCTTGGCTGTTTACCTCGGACGCGTTTCTACGCTGTCGGAGCACAAACGCCTCAAATTGCTTCACCGAGCAACATGTTGCCCAGGAGGACAATGCAAGAGGTTGACCAGGGCTTGTTTACCAAGTCCCTGCGCCATATGCTCTCCCAACTCCCTATGATGTTGGTAACGGTGAAAGAAGTCACTCCAGTCCATATTAAGGACCATCTTAACCACACGCACGCTCAGAGAGACGGGTCGTGGGAAGGACTACTAGTGCTACCAAGTGTAGACGAGCACTTCTACGAAATTTCCTCGTGATACTTAGCACACACCTTCAGCACAAACGAGGAAGCGGTTAGACCGTCTTACCTTCGCGTGCGAGGGTGGTTGTGTGGTTGGTCGACTGCTTAAACAGTCGTACCACCAGTTGCCTCTCGCTTTAGCGAGAGTGCAACGAACTTCTTAACAAGAAGGCACCGACGTCACGCAGAAGCTTCTTCAGCTTCTCGTGCGTGGTGCTTATGTTTAAGCAGATTCAAGTCTGATTATATATTTACTAGAATTTAACTAAATATAAATCTAACTACTGATTGGTCAAGATGTAATGATGGGTGCCATCTCTATAGATGCGCATTCCAACGTGCGAGCTTAAATATATTTAAGCTCGCTCAATGACATAACTGATTGACGTCATTTGATGACGCCTAGTCCCAGCTGGGCGTCATCCCCATCAATGTGAATACACCTAGTGTGTATCACATACGCAAGGGTGTGATACATGGTGTGTCTCACCCGAGCGACAGGTCTTACGTACTTACGTACATTTTTACACCTGCCTGTTAAGTATCGCATGCGTGTAACGTTGAGCTCGTTACAAAGTTAGTCTTAAATTTACAACACACTGTCTTCTGCGCACGAGAAGCTGAGTAAGCTTCTGCGTGACGTAAGTAGGACACTTTGTTGGTTGTTCGTTGCACGGTTCGCTTTAAGCGACCGGCAACGATTGGTACTGCTCTTAAAGCGCCGACCAAAGCCACCACCACCGTACGGGAGGTAAGACGGTTGAATCGCTTCCTCGCGCTGCACGAAGGTGTTCCCGCGTAGTACGTGGCAGCCTCTTTACAAAGTACCCGTCTAGAAGATGCCACACGATTACACGTACTCGCTTGTACGTGTTACTTATATGGAAAAATATATAAACCTTTTACTTTCTATCTACCACACAGATCGCGAAGGAGGACTGGAAACAGCTTCCGCGACGTGGCTCAGTGTAGGGTCTTAAGTTTGTTGTGTGCGGACGTTCAGGCACCCGCCACCTTTTATCTCCGCACACGAAAGACGGTCTCTGTTGGAAAGTTGGACTTTGCTATTAGCCGAATAGTAAATGTACGCCGATGAAGTCTGCTAGACTAGTGGTAGAATATGACACACCCGTGGCTTGCAGAGGGGTGATCAGTTCGCAAGCCTTGCTTGAGGGGGTTTGCGGAGTCAAAGGTAAAATTGAGAATGTGTATTTGTTGGAGGGTTATATGGTAGGCTAGACTAACCCAACTAATGAAAGTACTTGCGCAATCATCTTGGTCATCGTCTTGGTCATCGTCTTGGTCATCGTCTTGGTCATCGTCTTGGTCATCGTCTTGGTCATCGTCTTGGTCATCGTCTTGGTCATCATCTTGGTCATCATCTTGGTCATCATCTTGGGTATCATCTTGGTCATCATCTTCTGTTCTCGCAGGTCATTAACCATACCACCTGTGAAACGGGGTTACACGACGGTTGTAGCGTCTTTCCGAGTGTTTACGGTTAAACTCCCCTTTGTATTGCGTATAATGCATTATTATACTTCTCTTTAGAGAGGTATTAAGTATGAGCGCTAAGATACGGTATTCGGTAATACCGTATCTTATCGATTGGGATTCGATAAATCACTAACGCTGTATTAAGTACATCATACACAGATGTTTAGACGATACGTCGTTCAATAGCAATGTCTGCATATTATAATCACTATTGTAGTAATTAGTCTAGTGTAGTGTACTTAGAGTAGGACTATTCATAAAATCTTAAAGCATAAATAAAATCAGTTCTCCTTTTGAGTTTAAGATCGCAAGTCGTTCTGACTTGTTCTCTTGTGCACTTCGTGCGTTGGTTCTCTGAACCTCTAAGCTCTAGCTTGTTCTTGCACTCTGTGTGTTGGCTCTCTGAACCTTAAGCTTATTGCTTGCTGACTAAAAGTCTCTCCTACTTCCTTAGAACAGGGTGACTTTAAGTCGTTTGATTAGTTCCTTAGAACTAAGTGGCTTTTAGCCTTATCTCTCTTTAGCTCTCTAGAACTAAGAGGCTTCCAGCCGAAAGTCTTCCTCTGGCTAAAGAGCTGTGCAGCTCCGCTACAACCTGTGTCAAATAGTTTATCGAGGAAGTTATAAAATATTCGATGGAAAGGTAAACGTGTGCCAGCACCAGAGGCCGCTGCACTGAGAGAGATCACTTTGCGATGAGTAAGGCACCCGCGGACGACCGCGGCGGCGGACCAAAATTGCGTCTGCACGCGTCCTGAAGTAAAGTTTCTTATCATGCGCACTTAGTTTTCTACAGGTCTAACCGCTCCCTCTCTTGCGCAAGAAGCGAGGAATCGGTGTGTGGTCGTAGGAGGTGGCAGCTTGTGAAGGGCCCTCCTACATGTACCGTACCGTACATGTAGTAAAAACGAGGCGCTCCAGACATGAGCTGATAATCGAAATGACATCATCACATCCCGAGATAGCATCCCTCTCATACCACATTGTGCGCCACATACTGTAGTCGATGGCCGTGCAATGATATTCGCGTTGTTCTGTTGATGATGGTGATCGTGCAGCTGTCGCATTCTAGAAAACAACTATTTTTATCCGTGAGCATTCACAAGCAGAATTTCGCATTAATCTAAAAACGTACAGACATATCGGCAATCACTTCTTTTCCGCCTCAATCTCGGTTTCGTTCACGGCCGTACCCTTTTCCTTCTCTGCAAGCTCCTGATCATGCTCCTCCTGCTCCGCTATATGTACTGGGCTTTGCATCGATGTGTCAAACCCTCCTTGGCCAGCTGGAGGAGACAACTCGTGGTCTTTGTCCATTCGCAGCACCTTTTGCTCAGGACGTGGTATGTGCGAACGACGAAGTTCCTTCGCCTTATTCACCAAAGCCTGCACACGATGCAGCAATCCTGAGTCTTTACGTAGCACCGTCGTATCCACATGCTGCAGTAAAGTTCAACAGCCACAAACAAGTTAGCTGGTTAAAGTTCGACCAACAACCAACCTCCCCTCACCTCGTCCTCCAAAGAATTCAGCAGCTCCGTGTACTTTTTCATATCCTCATATTTCTCATTTTCAGCAGTAACGCTAGCTTCTTTCTTAACCAAGTCTCTTTCCTCGGTTGTTGGTGATGGCAGATTCGCCAGCAATTCTTCAATCTGCTTGTAAAGTTGCTGATGCTCGAACGCAACGTACTCGTTATATGTGCGTTTCTTCAGGTGTTTTCCCAGAGCTTGGTCCACCTTTTTCACATCTTTTACGTGCACGAATCCATGTCCCCAAGGGTACAACACCGTGCAGAAACCGTCTTCTCGACGGTATCCCCTCAGGTGCCCTGCTCCTGCAGGTGTAGTCACCAGATCGTCTAGCCTCATGCCGTTAACGACATGCTCCTTCCTCAGCACAAATCCCTCAAAAGGATCAGCAATCCAGAAACGTAAGACTTCAGCCACTGTCTCCTTAAGTTGCAGCGCTAGTAACGGACGCGTGCCGCTTTCTAGGTCCTTGTCACTTTGTTTCTGTAATTTGGTTATTAATGGACGTAACTTCTTTTCCAATCGACTTTTGGTCTGTGGGAATATTGCCATCTTTAGTGCTTGAGTTACAATGGTGAGTAGCTTGTTACAATTGCAACTGGGCACGAGTGCCACGGTCTGTAACAAGTGTAAACACTGCGTGTCCTGCTGTCGGTATGTGCGACATACAGGACGTAGTAGTGGCAGCAACAAGCTCGAACGGGTTGGGATGTTAAACATTAGCGTATTGGCATCATGAGCCTTGCGGAATTGAACCTCACGCATCGAAAAGACCGGCAGTGAAGGCTCTAACAACGGAACATTTGGGACGATCTGAGCAGCGCTAAACATGTTAAGACACGGACGCTTTTGCAAACTGGGATGAAGTCATTGTACCGGTAAGAGTACCGGTAAAGGTGTTATCGGCACAGAATGTTGTACCGGTAAGGGTACCGGTACAGAATGTTGTATCGGTAAGGATAACGGTACAAAGTGCTGTACCGGGAAAGGTACTGGCAAAAAAGTTGTACCGGTAAAGGTACCGGTACAATGTAATGAAAAGTATCGGAGTGACTCACTTTATTCAGTAGCAAATGAGCCCATTCACATGATTCAGGTACATCTTAATCGCCACAGAAAAGTGTATTACATAGGACCCGTTGTGACTCTCTACTCCTATCGCTCGTCTCGATTTGCTGTTGAGCCTCTCATGACGAAAAGCTTGGACCGCAGCGCACACGCAAAAAGCACAATACGTGCACGCGCTTCATTCGGAGTGAAATATCCACTACACAATTGGGCCGCCCGACGCTTTAACAACGATGCAGCATGACCAGTGTGTGCGCAAGTTGACAGCTCTACAAGCGCTTACTCGACAGCAATGTCAACGCTTGGGCGCATCGAAGAGCACACCTCGAGAACCTCGTGGATCTTGTGGTTCTTGAACTCGCTCATGATCTTTGCCTCGTTCTTAATCTTGTTGTCGTCCACGGCAACGTATGCCTGCTCCGTCAAGATGTAGTCAAAGCGCGGTGCCCACTTGCGGGAGCCAAGACGCGCCGTCGTGGAGCAGTTGTCAACCATGTAGGCGACACCACGAGCGTGCATGTACGGGTTCAAAGAATCCACCGACTCAATCACCGACTCGTTGGCGACCTCCGAGTAGCAGTGGCCGTGGCTAATGAGCACGTCAATCTGAGCCATCATCATGGCCACGTACGAACCGGCTGTGAAGGGGTTCATGACAAAGTTTCCGTCGCGAGCGGCACGCACTTTCTCACCAATCTTCCACGTGTACGTCTGGTCGATCTTGCCGAACGGGAAGCGATCGTGGCGAGCCACAGCATTGTTGACGCTGCGGATCTCGTTTCCGCATGCCACGTCATCGTACACCTCCTCAATGATATCGCGGCAGGGCGTATAGGCGGCCGTGTAGGCCTTCTCGAAGATGATCTTGTCCTCTCCTTTGAAGCTCTCGTACACCGACTTGATGCCGTCGTGCGAGATCTTTTGGTTCAGCGGACCAGTGATGCACTCGGCCGTGTTCTTAAAAGCGTCCTCGGGACTCATTCCGTTCTGCACGTAACGGCGGAAAAGCGACTCAACGAGGCCGTGCACACCACCGAGTAGGATGCAGCGCTCGCCGAAAATGTCCGACTTGTACTCATCGGCCATGGTCGTGTAGAAGGTGTAGGGGGCACCGACGCCCACACTCCAACCAAGAGCAATCTCGGACGCGTTGCCCGTTACGTCTTGGTGAATGGCCACACTAGCGTTGATTCCAGCACCGTTGACCGTCTTGCCCTGCACGTAGAGACGACGGACGCTGGGGCCCATGCCCTTCGGGGCCATCATGACCACGTTAATGTCCTTCGGGAAAGACTCATGTACCGACTCGAGGTGACCCAGCAGAAAACCGTGCGAAAGACCCAGAGTGGCGCCCGGTTTGATGAGCGGGAAGATCTTGGGGTATAGATTGACACATGCCGAGTCACTAATAAGCAGCACAACGAGGTCCGATTCCTTAATGACGTCAAACATCTCACCCAAGTTGCCTTTGTCCTCACAAAACCCAGCGTCATTGGCCTTGGAAATGGACGACGAGCCTTCACGCAGACCAACCTTGACCTTGATGTCCGTACCCTCGAGCGATTCACGCAAGTTCTGCGCTTGGGCAGGGCCCTGCGAGCCCCAGCCAATCACACCGACCTGCTTGATACCAGCAAATGCCTTGGGCAGTAGAGGAAACTTGTCACGACCACCGGGCAGTACTGTCTCCTTTGATTCGGCCATCTGAACAGTGCGCAGATGGTCCTTGAACACGACAGAGCTCAGCTCGGACACGTTTGTTGCAAACGAGCGTGTTTGAAGCAGCGACGACTTGGCGTGCATTGCAGACTTGAGGAAGAGACGCATGGTGATCAACAATAGACGCTTTACAAGGAGTGGAAGGTATGATGAATGGAGAAAATTGGAGAATGGGGACGATCTTGGCGAGCGATGGTGGCCACCGGCGTGGTTTGCGCATTCGACGGGTTAGTTTTGAGACTTAATAGTCATTGGCACGAGAACAGGTATACATCTATGCTTTCTCTGCTAGAACTCCCTCTAATATTTAATGTACTTATTGTGATACGCTATGATAAAGTGATGGGAAAAATCTTGTGAGACGATGCCTGCACGTAGTAGTTTCTGTGGCGGCTGCTGACGTGTGCAAACGCGGGCAAGACACTAGATAGAGACACGCTTGGAATTGTCATGCGCGTATCTATCTGTACATGAAAATCTCTCTTCGAAGCTTTAGTAGTTACGTTGTACGTAGCACTAAATCTTCAGTCCTTCCCGACCAGTCGTTTGGAGGCCGTGACGTTACGTTCCTTTCTATTTTTTCTGCATGGTCATCGTTCTATTTTTGCCTAAGCCTTCAAGTTGAGCCGGGCGATTAATTAATTACCTGCTGCTACTTCTACGGTGTCCGAGATGGCGAGTATTTTGTACGTCGGTGATAACGTTTATCAAAATGTGTGTAGAAATCAAGACTAGACTGCAAAAGATGAAGACCAAGATGGACCCTTATGCGGTTCCTATTGTGGCTACAAGGATCTTCGACTTGTCTTACCTATAGTGTAACCCGTAGAATTGTATAGGAAGACTTCTTTTTACCTATGAAAGGGCTGAATGAACATGTACACTTTCGCAACTAGACATTCCGTGAACAATGTGTGTGTTACGATGTCTGACCTATGCGCTTGTTCTTGCTACAAGACGTAACTCGATTTTGCCTTAGCGACAACATGGTTAAATAGCTCCTCCAGGGTCTTTTGTTTATCAATAAGCGGCTAATTGGCCTGTATGCAGGATAACATCGAGGGAATTTCTTCGGGACGAGGTACAGTCAGTATCAACCCCTTATATTGCGAATGAATGGACATTTGCCATTCAACATTTTTACTGACATTCTATACATGACTCTGTCGTCCCATCCGCTGTACGTCTGGGTCCTGAACCACGTGCTGTATCGAAGCTTTGGCCATCCGTTAAGCGTTCAACTGCTTGCACTGAGCTCACTAGTGCTTCTACTGAGTTTCTCATTGTTCTCATTAGCTCCATGGCTGGATTATGAATCGCAACGTCATGTAAAGACATTTCAACTGGTGTCTGACTCGTTCGCAATGGACCATTTCGTGGTGTTTGTAGCCATCGTCCCGCTTGCGATTTGGCTGCTTTTGGTCAATCTCGCGTACTCAAAATTGACTTGTGCGTTGCTACTTTTACGAGCCGCCAGTTGCCTCACCGTGACCTTCGCTCTCACCGTGTTTTTAGCCGAGTTTTTGTCTAGGAGAGCCATGCTAGCGCTATTGGCGTTGGTCTATGCCATATTGGGGCTTGTGTACTCGTGGAGTGTGCCAATATGGAGATGGTATCAGGAAGAGGCGCGCACCAAGGGATTAGTGAGCTTCCTGCCTCAGTCCGTGCAAAAGCTGTTACTGCAAACTTCACTATTGGAATGGCTCACTGATACTAGTTTTTTTGATAAGATGGCTTTGCTTCTACCGTTTTTGTTGCCTTTGTCAAGGGCAGAGCAGATGAGATTAATGGAGCAAATGCCCCCAAAGTCTCAAGTCATGATGACCAAGCCGGGTCTACTGCCGTTGCTACCAGGTTTAGTGCGAAGCATTTTACTACCGGTGCAGGATAGTGACAGTGACAACGACAGCGACAAGAAGGGAGAAGAGACTGACGCAAGTGAGGGAAGACTGGCTGGTCAGGTGAAGACGGATAGGGTGAGCAGGATGGAGCAGAAGAAAGTGTTGACCAGCGCATCCTCATCGACAACGGGATTTGATTTCCATCGACCGGATGTAGTAGAGACTGTACGTACGCCACCGTCGCGTGAACAAGTTTTTAATGAGATTGTGGTGTCCCGGATGTGGAATGGGTGTAAGGAGCTCGTGAAGGTGCCGACTTCGAAGGTATTAAATCGCACGGCGGCAATGTCGAGTGCACTGCTAGTGATGCAGCTGTATGCATCGCGTAGAAGTCGAAAGATTTTCTTAACGTTTATGCACTTTACAGCAGCGTCGGCGCTGAGCTCGGTTGCCTGTTGCGCTATTTTCTTGCGCTTCGTCCAGCTTTTGGATGTAACATGGACCTCGAGGCGTGCGATGCCGTTACTATGCTATGCGCGACAATATTTGTTACGAAACGCAAGATCACCACAAATTTCTGATCAACCAGTTCATGGTGTTTCTGTAACGCTGCGTTCGACAGCTTCGTCGGTCTCTTTGCTGGTTGCTGCACTGTACATACTTCGCAAACTACGGCGCTGATCTCCATAGAAACCCGTTGTCGGAAAATGATTGTAGTGAAGAGGGCGCAGTATGTTTTCTTCTGTTCAAAGCTGGTGTCAATGGTATGAAGATCGACGACAGTGTCACATTGGTTGTTTGTCTAACGTTGTTTGAATTGCGAACAGTGGCAGCTAACCCCTATGCTGCTTTTTCGAATCACTGAAAATATAAACGAATCGAAGTTTCGACTCGTTTACCAGTCAACTTATCTCTGACTGGTCTCCCAGTTCTTCGGCTGGTACACCGACGCCGTCGATTTCGGTAATGGATTCTTGCCCAATATGATGTCGGCAGCCTTCTCAGCTATCATGATCGTCGGTGCGTTTAGGTTGCCGCTCACAATGTTCGGCATGATAGACGCATCCACGACGCGCAGGTTCTCTACACCGTGTACACGCGTCTGCGGGTCAACGACCGTGTTGGCATCCACACCCATGCGGTTTGTGCACGACGGGTGATATGCGCTCTCCGTGTTCTGACGAATCCACTCGTCGATTTGAGCGTCAGTCTGCACGCCATTCGACGGCGAAATCGCTTCACCACGGTATTCGTCAAGCATCTGCTGCTCCAGAATCTCACGTGTGAGCTTCACACCAGTACGCATATCTACCAAGTCTTCTTCCACACTTAGATAGTTAGGCTCGATGATCGGATGCTCGTGCGGGTTGTTGCTGCGCAGCTTTAACCAGCCACGGCTCTGAGCGCGCATCGGTGAGCAGTGAGCCTGCATAGCATGGTAAGCTCCGGGAGTTAATTGACCAGTCAGTGATCCAGGCAGGAAATGGTATTGCAGGTCAGGGTGGCGCTTGCCGGGGGCACTTCGGATGAAACCACCCGACTCCAGGTGAGAGGACGCTCCCATACCAGTTTGACGAAAGATCCACTCAAAGCCAATCGAAATCATCTTATGCGGGTATTTCCTGCAAGAACAACATTGTACATCTAATATCAGAAACATTTGAGCATCAGAGATGCTAATAGCAAATAGCGACTTACCAAGTAGCGTTGTGCAATGTAATGGGTTTCTTGCACATGTACTGGATGTACATATCAAGGTGGTCCTCCATGTTCTGACCCACTGCAGGTAAATGCTGAACCACTGGCACACCCACCTCCTTCAAATGATCGGCATTGCCAATACCCGATAGCATCAGAAGCTGGGGCGAGTTTATCGCTCCACCACATAAAATCACCTCCTTCGCTGCACGGACCTGCTTGGTCATTTTAATCTTGTGGTCCTCTGTCTCCACACCAACGGCCTTTTTGCCTTCAAACACTACTTTGCTCACAAAAGTATTCGTGAAAACTGTCAAGTTTGGCCGTTTCATAGCTGGTTGCAAGTACGCTGAGGCTGTACTCCATCGGAATCCTTTCCAGACTGTCATATCCATATATCCAAAACCTTCCTGTTGATATCCATTCATATCCTGTGTAAATGGATAACCAGCCTGTATACCTGCATCAATAAACTTTTGAAAAAGAATCTGATCATTTTGATTACCACGAATGACATGAAGTGGTCCATCACTTCCTCGATAATCATCCGATCCAAGCTCATGATTCTGAGCTTTACGAAAATAGGGCAAACAGTCTGCATAGCTCCATCCTTTAGCACCACTCTCTTGCCAATCATCATAGTCATAAGCATGACCACGAATATAAACCATCGCATTAAGCGACGAAGAGCCACCAAGCACACGACCTCGTGGCCAAGGCAACCTTCGGCCATTTAAATTCTTCTGAGGCTCTGTATAATAGTTCCAATTGTATTTATCATCACTTAAATTGTATGTAAGAGCAGCAGGCATGTGAATCTTCCACGAGTCCCATTGATTACGGTCATTTAATCCCGTCTCAATGAGTAACACTTTATTCAGTGAATCTTCGGTTAAACGATTGGCCAACACACAACCAGCTGAACCACCACCTACGATCACGTAATCATACTCGGTTGTAGTACTTGAGAAGCTATAGAAGCGAGTGTGTTGTCGTCGTAGACTGGGGGAACGAAGCGAATGACGCAGCATCTTGATACGCTTGGATCTTGTGCTTATATGGGAAGAAAAGCTTTGAACCAATAAGAGCAAAGGGTATTTTTCCAATTCTTTTTGGAACAAAATAGATCTGTGGTGGATAATAGTTGGATTGCTGGACATTATTTGCCTTGTCTCTTCGATTCGCTTTATTTATTTTGATTGGTTGACCGTTTCCAACCGTGAACTGAACGCATGAAATTTGAGAGGGCGAGATGTTTGCACTGTATCAAACAGCATCAACATGTATACAAAACGACCCCTTTTTCAAATCCTGCTTTAAATAATCGCACACATTCCCTTAAATCAAGTCATTTCGCAAATGATCGAACCCCATACACGGATATTCTTTGTTTAAAAATCGAACTCATTCGATATTTTTGATTGTGTTTTTTTTATTTATTTTTATTTTTTATGAAGCGGATTGCATCAAGTGGCACGTTTTATTTCATGTCAGATTTCTACCGGCTCAAATATTTCACTTCCTGTTTGTCGTCGTGTCGCAAAAAAGCTGCAAAGAACGAAAAGATATTCACAGTATTGAAATAAAAGATTAAGAAGTAGACGATGGAATTATCCGAAAAAAAGAAGAATTAGCGACGGATGCAATGTTACCAGCTCATCAACGACGCACTGGGCGAATTAATAGTCTCTATGAATTCCAACAACGTGCCGCTCTTTACAATGGTGACAATGAGATTGAGATTGATGATGAAAAGATTCCAATCTCTGCACTACTAAAAGACGAGTATCATGTCGCAGACGCTTACATTGGCATTGCCCCTGATCGACGTGGCAGTGACGGGTCGGACTTTATCGAATCGTTTCGGAAATATGGATTACGAAGATCAATCTCAGGTGCATCTCTCTTTGGAGGTGAAAGAAGTCGAGCTTTGAATACATGCTTGTACTATCGTCGACAATTGAAAGCCGTGTGCTTTTTGATCCTTTTGGGTGTCATTGGTGGACCAATGAACTTTGGAATTCGAATGTAAGTGCTTGATTCTTTGTTTTCTAAAGTTGGAGGATCTCTCTTTCTCACACAAAACTAATGATTGCATGGATACAGATTGTACAATCATCTTCTAAAATTAAGAGAATATCTCGCTGGCTTGGCCCCTACCTATGCATTGAAACTCGCTGTTTGGATAGCCCACACTGTGATTTTCTCAGGACTGGGACTGTTCTTCACTCAACTAGCTCCGGTTGCTGCTGGGTCTGGAGTCTCCCAGATGAAATCGATCCTTACAGGGATCGACCCACGAATGTATTTCCCTGGCTACTTTGACTTTTCCACATTTCTCGCCAAGGTAGCTGGCTTGGTGTGCTCCGTTGGCGCCGGTCTCATTGTAGGTACAGAAGGAGCTTACGTTCACATCATGTCCATCGTCACGCACCACTTGCTCAAATCACCGCTGTTTAAGGGATTTAGTGTGCATCTTAACGGCCGACTTCAGCTTCTGGGTGCTGCATGTGCTGTCGGCGTATCGTCGGTCTTTTCGTCGCCTATTGGTGGTGTGCTTTTCTCCTTGGAAGTAACATCGACGTACTACCTCACGTCAAACTACATTAAGGCCTTCATTAGTGCCGTTTCTGGAGCAGTGATGCTACGTTTGACGCTGGTGTTGGCTAATAGTGAATCTAATCTTGCGACACAGGCAGTGTTGAGAACTCAGTTTCCTCCCAGTCCGTTCAATATCTGTGAAATTCCTCTGTACATCCTTCTGGGCGCTGTACTTGGACTGATTTGCACGGCAATGATGTGGTTCTTGCGCAAGATTGCTGAGTACAGGAAGGCTTGTCGAGAATCGTCGCAGAGGTGGAAAAAAATACTAGTCACGTGGATCGACCCACTTGTTGTGTCAATATTGACGGCTGTTTTGACTTTTGTGCCTGGAGAATATGCCCAACATAACTCGATGAACGACCTCGCCATTTTGTTTACAGAAGGAGATCTACCAGCAGCGTGGCAGGTGCGGTCCAAGTACTATGCGCTTTCGGTTCTGTCGTCTGTTTTCATTTTCTTGCTTCCGCTGTGCATCACTTTGAAGATTCCCACTGGAATTTGGGTGCCAACGTTTATTGCTGGCGCTGCATTTGGCCGCATGTTTGGAGAGATCGTTGCGACTCTGTTTCCAAATCTAGATGTCATTCCTGCTACGTACGCGCTGGCTGGAGCAGCTGCATTTGGGACTGCTGCGACACGGGCAATTTCTGTGGCGGTTATTACGCTGGAGATTACCGCAGCAATGTCAATGACTCTTCCGCTGTTTTGTGCATCACTGGCGGCAGTAGCAGTCTCAAATTTGTGTAAGGAAAAATCCGTTTACGACACACTGCTGATCGTAAGCGGTATACCATTCCTACCTCTCATCGACTTCGAACCGACTATGGCAGCTGGTGACGTCGTGGAACCGTGCTTGGTTTACATACAAAAACGCACAACAATCGCTCGCATTTTGCTTGCGCTCCAGCGTTTGCCGCATCACGAGATCCCGGTCGTCAAAGACGAAACGACAATGATTTTGCTGGGCGTGGTGAGTGGCTCGCAATTGCGGAGGTTTGTCAGGAAACACTACGAGGCAAATAATCTCGACGGGGTTGATGAAGATCTCGGTGAAAAGCCCCAGAATAATACGTCTTTACTATCATGGGCCACATTGAAGGACAAACTCACGCAACATACTCCGTCCGATAACACTGGCGGCTTTCACGGTATCGGTTCTGTCGATATCACTTACAGCGCGTTGTCGTCCCAACGACCCCACGTGATCGGAGATGGAGCTCAACTTCCATTCGTTCTGGACGATTCAAAAATGCTGGGGCTGCTGAACGAAGGTTGGGACAGCGTCAAAGTCGAAAAGCTCAATACCGCTGTGAAAATCACCGAGGGACGCATCTGCATTATTCGTCCTATGGCGATGACCATCTCCAGTAATACGCCTTTGGATGATCTTCACATGATCTTTACAATGCTTCGTTGTGATCACTGCTTTGTGTGCGACCACGGAGCTCTGGAAGGTGTCGTCACTACCAAAGGACTATTACGTTCTGGGAAGCTTGATGATTCTGCATAGCACAGAATGAATAGATAGATAAGCCGATGTATATTTGCTCCTGCCTCTTTCACTGTATGCGTATATAGAACTTTAAAGTGCTCAATTATCGTGAGTTAACAAAATCTCAGCATCCATTTTCATGGCAATCCGACCATACAAATGCTTACCGACAAGCTTGTGTTAGTACCGACTTGTTTCAGCACTGCTTCTTCATATGTCCTGATAGTATATATTTTGCTGGTAACGAAACTTGCTACTCAAAGCAGCATGACGGCATGGCGACGTCGAAATGTCAAGTACACTGGCGATGCTGCATGAGCCAACATACTAATGCTCTTTTCAAAAGACCACGACGTGATGTACTTCTTGTTAATCGCAACTAGCACGTCATCCACAGCAATAATTCGAGCAGCAACAGATGGACTCTCACTATTGTTTTCAAAATCAATAAAGCCGCCAACGACGAGATTTCCTTCTGCAACCATCCACAAAAGTCATTAACACGTCAGTCTCAGCAAAAATAAACAAAGAGTACACAGAAAAACAAGAGACTCACGATTCATACGCAGCGACATGCCCAGTCCTTCTGGACGCTTGGGCACGGCGACGTCATAGACAAAGTCCGTCTGTAGGGGACTGAGTAGCTCGTTCATTGCTGCCGCCATAAAGTCTGGACGTAGTGTTGGATGCAGTACCATCATACCGAGTATAAGTGTAACAGCCACTGACTCAGGCACGAAACTTCCATAGAGAATGAGCATTTCCATGACCTCCTGGGGTAGCACCAATGTACCGCTACAACGTGGACATTTCCGGTCCATTATACGTCGAAACGACATGTCAACACCCGGAATGCGCGTAACGACAAGACAGGATTCACAGGCTGCTAAAAGACGTGTAGCTCGCTCTTCAATAGAGACAGAAACAGCATTAAACTCCACTGCAGAAGGTGCTTTAGTGTTGTAAGCATTCATCTGGTGTTGTGTCGTGTACACAGATGATTGATACTGCTGAGCCGGTTGATATTGTTGATGTGGTTGTTGATATTGTTGAATAGGAAGCTGCTGGGACGGATAATGATGGGACTGGATCGGTATATGGGACTGGATCGGTACTGTATTCATGGACGTCTCGTAGACAGAAGAAGGAGCAAAAGTCGATTGTTGTGGTGGTTGTGGATCCATTGAATGTAAGAGATGATTTTGCTGATGCTGTTGCTGGTCCTGCTGCTGCTGAAGCTGCGGCGTTTCATGCTCTTCTTGCTGCATTATCCGTCTGTCCGATGTCAAGTCATTTAACGGTTTTATCGCTGCTAATATTGTGTGGCTTACACCACATATCAGTCTGTACACCCTCAACACATAAGGAGTGGTGTAATCTATATTGATGTACACCACATAATTCCATTCATTGAAGTATGACCGATCATGGACTGGATGACAAGGAAGGACAAGATTTGGACGCCTTTTCTTCGGACGAAGAGACACATGAACTAGACAATGCAATGGTAAATGAACTTCTTCTTGTATGTTCCAATCTAGGTATGCTTCGTGTACAGAATGAAAAGGAAGTACCGGTTTTCATGCGTGGAGAAGATTGTGAACAATGGGTGCATGATTTACAACGGGCTTTACGTCGTGATCAGGCAAAAACTCGCTTAATTACGAAACAATTGGGCAAATGGAAAATTTTACAAAAAAAATTACTTCCACTTCTTGTGAATCATCAACATGATTGGCCATTGGTGTTTTCCATATTAAAAGTACTCGTCATGTTGACCACAAAACCTTCAAGTGATTCAATCAACATTTCCCAACAACTTTTGTATCTGAGACAATACAAATATGAATTTCTACGGTGTCAAGTGATTTCCATTATGATGACAATTCTCGTCGACCCGTTGTCGAAACAAGGTTCAGCTCGAACGGAACAAGATTATCTTTATATGGAAATTGTTCTCATGTTAGTGAGAAATTTACTGGCCATTCCAAATGAAGATCCACGTTTTGTCACATCTACAACGTCGCATTTTAGTCACTTGCAAGAAGATTTAATTGCCATGTTACATGCAGAAAATGTGTACGAGATGATCTTGCTTTTTGCTCAAGATATTGATTCCCCAGAAAATCGAGAATGGAATCTACTTGTAATGGAGATGCTGGATCTTACATTCGACTGCTCGCAGCCAAAGTCCGTCGTAGCTTATGCAAAGAAACAGTTGACAGGTGAGAATTGGCAGAGTTCTGGGAAACAGGTTAATACAGTGAAAAGGCCGTCTCGCGGCCTCGCCCCAGCAACTCGATCTGGAGGTGGAAATTTGCTGGCAAAGCTAAGCAGCGAAAAATATGCGACGGCCTTGCACCAGTCAGGATCTCGCCGCCATTCTAACTTTGGTGGCGTCCTAACTATGGTCGGACCGACTGGACGAACTACAGTGCTGTCTGACTTTTCCAAGACAGTATACGACCAGGTTCCACAAGCAGCCAAGAAACCAACCTCTAGGAGAAGAGGAAAGAAGAGTGCAGCTCCGGTTACCGACATCCACGAAATCTTTGGCGGAAAGGGAAGAGTGACGGAATCTGACGAGTACGTTGGTTGTTTGTGGTTATGTATTTCCACATCTGGGTAACCTGTTGGAATGCGTTGCTGTGTTTTCTGTTAGACGTACGATGCGGGTTCTCCAAGATATTTGCGACTCTGTCATTGCAAAGTCTTACTTTCAGCTCACGAACTCTTTAAAGACTGAATTCCGCCGAGGAAGTACCAAGCTAATCGCGACCGATCGACTCCAGTACTTTCATCTCGTTTGGTTTCTCACTAAATATCACCGTTTAAAAGTTCAGGCACTGAAGTCGCACTACAAGCATCAGCTGAAAGCAGTTCAGAAGAAAACGACTGATCTACAAAATGCCTTGGACTTTACGACGCCTCCACCTTTGGCTTTTGAGAAGCCAGACTACAATGAAAAAGCGGTGCTTTCTACGTTGGATATGTTCTCCTTCAACTTTGTGTTGCAGTCAATCGAAAATTACGCCACAATGAAGAACTACCACGGTATGACTGTTTCTGTCCAGCTACTGACCGAGATGATGGCGTATCTTGCTGAGCTTTCTGCAAGCGATGACTCCCGCTTCCAGCGTATTGCTGATTCGTTGCAACACAAGATTTTCTATGAGCGTGATTTCCTGGATCGCTTGCCGATACTGTTGAAGACGTGGTCTCCAGGTCTCTTCACCAAGTCATACGTGATCGACGTTGTTACTTTGACTCATGTGGGTTGATGCATTTGCAGTCAATTATTTGCGTATGTATATGACTAATTACGTGCTGCTTGTTGCTTCACAACAGCTTGTTTTCAAGGTGCTTGACTCGCAAGGAACTATCAAGGTGCTCTCACGAAGGAAAGCGTACCTTGACAAGTGAGAAAGCAATTATGTCGCTGCACGTATGTCCATGCTGATACTCATTGTTCTCATGTTCTGATGATGTTACCCGTACAGGAAGCGCCAGAAGAAAAATCGGGGTGACGGGGAGTCGAAAGATGATGTCAACTCAGGCGGCAGCTCGACAGATGAGGATGAAACAGAAAGACAAGCACAGCTCCTGATGGAAATGCAGCGTAAGGAGGCTGACTTTGATGTCCGAAAATACTTTTCCAGCATGGTTTCAGCAGACACGATTCGGATGTACTGCTCGCTACTCACAGACTACCGTGAGAACAGTGCAAAAGTGAACCATTACATTCACTCGTTTTTCTACCGGACAAACCATTTCAAGATCTATCCGCAAGAGGAATGGACGATGCAACCAATGTTGTTCAACATACATGTCCTCCTGCTGTTCAACAAAATGCTTCAAGATATGTATATACAGCGACTTCCCGAGTACAAAAACTTTTTGGACTTCATTCGTGGCGTTGTTCGCGATTTTTTCACGCTTGCAGACAAAAACAATTTGCTGTTTATTGAAGCTCTTTTGCGCCAAACTTACCCTTCAAGATCGTGCATGCTTATTCAACGAAGTTACGATCCGATCGGCTCTATGAGCAAGTCGAAATCGGAGGCAGTTGCACTGGGCCGAGATAGGCGAATCGAAGCAATTAATGAGACTAGACGACATCGAATTGCCCTGGATCATGAAGAGCTTGAGGGCGAGGCTGAGTTTCAATTTACGTTGGGACCATTGGATTTTGAGTCTACCTCACTTGTGGATAAAGAGGGTAAAGAAGACGAGGGCGAGGCTGAGTTTAACAATGCAGTGGATCCGTCATCGAATCCGTCAAGATCTGCTGCTGCAGCAGAATCAGAGCCGAAAAGGATGCAACCAATGTCCCGTGCGGCGACGGAGCGTGCTAAGAACTGGAGTAAGGTTGAAGATCGCTACCTTGCCAAGGTGTTTATGAGATTTCGCCACCTGCCGTCTGTGTATGAGGTCATTTCGTATGAGGACATGTTTCAGGAGCGTGATCGAACACCAGAGCAGATTGAGCGTCGTGTCAAGTATCTGAAGCTTCACCGAGAGACCCATGATTCGTCTGATGAGGGTAGAAGAGAGCAAAGTAAATTGGATGATGAACAAAATGAAGTGCAGGGAGAGTATAGACAAACTGTGAGAGAATCCAGATTAGAGAAGGATCTTGCTGCTTTCGACACCGTCCGGCCCAGGCGACGTCTTCGCCGCGGAGTAGATTTTATCGACGATGATAGCGATGATGACATGCTGTTAGAAGGTTCAACGAGTATTACGGCGGAACCTTTGCACTCAAGCAATGCTACTACTACAAGTGAAGCAGCTGTTGGTGTTTCTGATGCTGTCTACGACGAGGAGATGAACGACGCACATTCAGCTGGAGATTTATCAAACGAAGTCTCTTCAACGAAAGTGAATGATGTCCTTGATAAAAGCTACTCTCAAGACATGGAGGCTACTCAAGTGCTACAAGATATACAACATTCATGTCTTGAGCATCACATTGAGCAGCCCACAAAAGCACAGCCGGATGGCACCGAGATGACTCCTATCCACATTGTTGCAAAGGTTGCTACACCTGACAGTGCGGATGCGGGGAGTGGTGATGGACCCGAGACAGTCATCGCTGAAATGGAAGTTGCTACCATAACTGATAGCCGCGACGACGTGGCCGCAGATGATGCCGCTGACGCGCAGCCTCATAAGCGAGTCCGCGCTGCTGAAGACGACATTGACATACCCGCGAAGAAGATTCATCGTAAAGAAGTTGAGGTGGTGCCCGACGCAGATGCATTTTCAAACCAGTAATGACAGTGAAATGCAAGCTGTACACGGCATGACGTGGAAACTTACTGGTGCATGTATGCCGCATCTAAATGATTCCTTCCTGCAGGTCTTCATCTGCTTCCAAGCCTTCTACACCTGTCATTTTTGAGCTCATATTAATCCGGTGTGCGCTGACGATTTCTGAGAAGCACTGAGTACGCAACAGCGCACGGTAATAAAGCAAGTCTTCTTCGGCACGAGTAGCAAGAAACTCAGTCTCGTCAAAGATGACCACGGACTCCTTTGTGTCACCCACCACAAGGCAGGCGTTCATGTGACCACTCAACAGCTCTGAGAATAGATCGAAGCAGATACCGCGCACCTGTTCGTCTTGTTCGGCTTCCATCACTGGAGGAGATGCATAAGCAAAGGAACTGTTTTCTGCGAGCGGCGTTGTGTCACATCCACCAATTGAATCGTATAGCAACGCTCTTGGATACAACAGCCTGTCTAGCTCGTTTTTAGCAGCTTCGAAGCATCGAGGCAGATAAATCGTGTTCGCTTTTGTATCATCCCGCAGACCCAGCCCTCGCCAAGAAATCGATTGATCACCAACGTATTGCAAAACCTTGCGATCTACGTCAGCAACAAGATACAAGCCACGAGTTGGCAGGTCTGATCGCAGCACAAACGTGCTGTGCACGCCGACGAGAATTGGCGTCGGACACTGCAGGTAAGAGAGCAATGGCTTTGGCAACACGGGCGCATATACATGACACCACACAAATGGTCGAAGCAAGTTGCGGATAGCCTCGGCGCACATTGTCAGCAGCGAGTACTGACTTGCAACTACCACAATGCTGCACTCAAGCACGGCACTGGCAAGAATTTGGAGTACCATGGAGGTACCAAATTGTTCAAAAAGAATCGTCATTGGGACGTCCACCTGAGTCTTTAGCGTAGTCAAAGGCAGGCTCAGAATACTGCTGCGTTTCTGATGCACCAGACGCATTTCCGGGTGCACATACGTGTGAGTATTAGCACTAGTAATAGTCGTTCTTTTCCAAGTGAGGCTGCTTTGGAACAACAATGCCAAGCGATCATGTGCAAGAACACTAGATTTGTCTGGCGCACTTTGCACGTGTTCTTCCACCAGACTTCTCAGCGACTTCACGAGCGGTAGATGAGAGAGCAGGCAAAAGCCCTTGGCAACATAAATTTCCTCGTCAGATGATCCCACGTGCATAGGTTCGTATGTCAAGTAGACCGATCCAAACAAGAATCCGTTCCGGCCGCTTTGCTGGAAAGGAAATAACATATCAGCGGGGCATTTTTCGCCTCCTGACCGCCTGATGAGGGTTCGATCGCTTGGCACGAGGAAAGGTTTGATTCGTCTTGATATGTCTTCAAACGACTCGTCACTACTGTTTGTATCCTTGTGTGGATTTGGAACAGGCATGAGCATCAAGGTGGCAGCAGCATCTTCCATCTCCTGTTTCTCCACAAATGTCGCGAAAGTCAGAATGACATCGATACCACAGTCATCATCCTTAGGAACGGATGCGCTTGCATTTGGCGACTCGTAATTTGGTCGATAGTGTACTTGGAGGCCGTCGGGTAGCTTCGTCAGCCGAATGATGCTCTCAAGATTCAAGACAATTTTAGCAAAAGCACCATCACTTTCCTCCGAATCGCTTCGACTTTTTTCTTCGCTATCGTTCGCACTCATGCGTTCCAAGATATCGGTTGTATGCGGCTTGCCGTCGACGACCTTCTCGTCATCCTCTTGTCTTATCTTGTCCTCGTCATTTTCCTCACTATTCACGGATGAGCCAGATCCGTTAGCGTTAATGTGTACCCTTGAGTATTCTGCAGAAGAGAAGGCCCTAGACAAAAGCTTTAGAGATGAGTCATCTCTGGACTTTTCGACAAGGTCAAAGTGAATAAGCGAGTCCTGAAGCGCTACCTTGTACAGGTCGCTCTTGATAAACCGGTCGAACCACGATGACTGTAGCATGGTGAATATCTCTAGCTGTGCCTTGTTAAACAACGTTATGGCGACAGGTTGCATAGGTTGATGTTTTTCGTTGAGGCGACGACTAGCAACCGCCAGGTACAAATCAGTCTTGGTCGCAAGTGTGATGGCGTGTGAACCATCCTGTGCCTTGTCCACCAGCACGCTTGCCAGTTGCCAAAACAGCTCGTGGTTTGCTTCTTCTAGTAAAGGTTTTAGCACGTATTCCACATGTAGCCAAAAGTAGAGTTCAAAATGCTGACGGCTTTGCATAAGGAAGAGCAAAAAGTAGTGCGCTGCTCGTGGTTGCTGTAGTATTTTCTTCAACGAGATTCTCCTTGTGCCATCTTCCGTGCCAATGAGCATTTTGAGATACTCATCACTTTTGAGAAACTGTGGCATCTCCTCTCGTGTCAGCCGCATATATGCCAGCTTTTGAATAGGAAAGAAGCTGTCATTTACTTGATCACTCGTGTCAATAGTGTCCTTTACCAGTTGCTCAAGCTCCAATGTGAGTTCCAGTGTCGTAGAAATTTCAAATTCAGATGTTTTGTCAATATATTTCAGCCAAATTTTATGTGCCTGTTCCCGTTGTTTACTTTCCTCCAGAGTCTGTAGCTGCTCAATTTCCATAAGAAAGAGCAGTACTTGATGATAATTATTATTGTTTTCACCATGTAAGGAATTTTTCTTGGTTTTTGCCAGCCATTGCAATAAATACGGTAATTTATTCGAATCTTTGACAATTTCTTTGAGTGTAAAAGGCACGTGACCCTGTAATGTCTCAAAACTTGTCGACTCGAGTCGTACGAGTTGCTGTTTCTTTTCCATTTGTCCCGATCGTTTTGATTGTATTTTATTATTTGGTCGAAATAAATTACGCAATTTGGAGCTCATGGGAAATGGGTACGACAGTTCCGGTGTCACGGATGTGGATGAAGAGCTCCAATTTCTCAATCGACTCGAAGGACTATAGCGTACGGTATCAGGAGGTGATATAGTACCAGTTGTGCATCTGTTCTTGCGTGGTTTGTCATCGCCAAAGAGCCACGACTCGAGATTTAAGTTAGGCATAGACCCTCGCATTGGTAATTTATTTTAATTAACATCCAAGCAACATTAAAGAATCTTTACGCAACTTATTCTGAGCGTACAATATTTCTAATTTTGACAAGCAATTTCGTATTATTGACCGATCATGGTGGCAGCTCGTTCCCAAGTGCTGACCCTATACAAGCGTATCCTGACGTTACATCGACACAAACTGACGCCGCATATGCGTGTGCTTGGAGATCAATACGTGCGTGATGAATTCAAGCGGCACAAGAGCGCCGAGTCCAAGTTCGTGCCGCTATTTTTACGGGAATGGGAGGAGTATGCGACTGTAATGGATCAGAAGAAGGATCGCTTTGGTCAGGAATTATCGGTAGAAAATCAGAAGCTACTGGATAAGGAACAAAAGATGAAGTTGCAATCACTGCAAGATGCTGCTAAGAAAGTGGGCGAGACCATCGTATAAGGAAAATGCACAAGTGTTTTAGTTTGTTGTACGTACGCACGCACAATTCGTCTCAATGATCGTTCAGTTTGTGACACCAATGCTACCTGCTATCGCTTTTCTGTACGTACAAAATTTATGCGTACGACTATGTTTCTAAATTGTTTCAAGTAGAAATGCAAATTGGAATCACTTGACATTTGTATCGCCAGAATCTCCGTGGTCACCCACCAGCCAAAAATGCGAGAAATCGACTATGACTTGCATCGAGCACGCACTGTCCTCATTAAAATTGGCACTGAAATTGTGCATTCGCCTGAAGGTCTTTTGGCCATGGGACAGATTGGAAATATCGTTGAACAGATTGCGGCGTTGCATATGAGAGGACACAATATCATTCTCGTATCCAGTGGCTCTGTATCCATTGGAAAAATGGTATTGCACCGCCAATACCTTCTGTCAGGCTCGATGCAATCACATCTTGGGGGTCAAGTGGACGATAATGCTCAATTTGACGAGAAAGCGTGCGCTGCTGCAGGACAAAGTGGGTTGCAGAGTCTATACGAGATGCTGTTCGCCCAATATCATTTGGCGTGCTCACAAGTGCTGGCATCCGATGCCGACTTTAGGGAACCTCAAGTCCGATCCAATTTGCAACGGACAGTCCGTGCCTTGCTGGATGTAGGCATTATTCCCGTGATCAATGAGAATGATATTATTACTCGACGCACCACACCACTGATCACTGAGAACAAGATTGCCTGGGACAACGACTCACTCGCAGCGCTTTTTGCTCAGGAGATGATGGTGGATTTGATGGTCTTACTCACAGATGTGGACGGTATTTACACGGGCACTACGAACGATAGAAAGCTGATCTTAAGATTCCAGCGTGGAGACAAACAGATAATTGCTCCTGAAAGTCGCGTCGGAACTATCGGACAGAATGATAAATTGCATTCATGTATTCGCGCAGTGGACAGCGGTGCTGTGCGTGCTGCGGTGGTTGCGAAAGCAGAGCAGGGGGTCTTGCTGCGTATTCTCAACGGCGAGCAAGTTGGCACACTTTTTGTGGCGAATGGGGAACGCTTTGGCGACGTTGAAGCAGAAAAGCAGCATATTGACCCATTGTACTCGGGTATTGCTCCGCGTGACCGGAGAACAATAAGCAAGCTGTAAAGAGAGTCCGAGTATCTTGACAGATACCATGGACAAATCAGAATGTATTAACGTTTTACTGTTCATAACATGGGTGTATACATTCCTTTGCAAAATTCTCCGTCTGTTACGACGCATCCGGTTGCAATGGGCTGTTTAAATCTGGGTTTGCACGCTGCCCGTGTCCGCGATATCTCTTGAGCACTCGTTGTCGTGACAACGGCCTACAGCTTCAGCTTATGCTCGGATGGCTGTCATGTACGACCAAGCCGCCTAACTTTAAAATGAAAACGATTGACTGCTGTATAGCAAATGCAAATAACTTGGTTGTAAAACCACGTAGTGAGTCTGGTATTCACACCTGCTTTCTGACATGTGTTGAGTGCAGTAAAGACTTCGTGCGAAGCGCAACTTCGTTCCTCCAGCATTTATTCACCCATTCTTAACTGTATTCCTACTTCGACGTACAGCACGAAAACGTAAACGGTTCACATCCACAGAGCCACAAATGTGGTTCGTCTTCATGTTATTTTTTGCTCGTCACTGACGTACATATCTTCTTATGTCGAGCTTTCCATTCAACTTGTGGCCTTCAGAGCAGGAATGGCCTGAGGGTCCGTATTGAACATCTCCATCGAATCGTACTTGGTCTTGATCTTCTGCAGTTTCTGGTAGTTGCCGCCACCATACAAATACTCGGCCATCTCGGGCACCGTCAACTTATCATCTCGATACGTTGGAAAGCTACCAGGCACACCGCCCGAAACCTTGTAATCATCCACGAACTTGTAAAACCGGTCGCGCATTGTGGATAACGAGCTATCCGCGAATTTGACGTCAAAGGCCGACGAACGCATGTCCAATCGGACCAAGAGCAAGTTGTTGTCATGCTTCCAAGCTGAATCGTCAGCACGAACTCTCTTAGTATATTTGCCACCCCACATGTCTACGAAACCGGAGACAACGGCGTCCGGAAGCTTGGGAGCATAGGCGGAATTGGCGAATAACGACCAGGCCGTGGCGTTAGTGAGAGGGGTATCTTCGGGAATCGTCACCGATGTGATGTAGAAATAGCGGCGGGGTGTAAGCGTCTGCTCCACAATTCCGGGGGTTGAGATGTTCTCCGAAGCATAGAAGTCTTCCTCATTTGAAATTAAGGCCATCGATGCAGGCAGTTTCTTCATCAGCGATCCTAGCACCAGCTTGGCATTCGCACCAGAGCCGTAATAGAAGCCCTGCAAAGTGGAATTAGTCCTCAGGTTGTAACGGATTGAAAGTAGGTCGTTGTTGTCATTGCTCATAGCCCAATTCTGCATGCCAATAAGAGCATCGACGTTGTCCTGCTGAGTCGGCTTGATGTCCGATTTAAAACCGATGGTGTAATCCGTCACACGCTGAGAAGGTGGCGCAAAGGTCTTGATTTTGAAAACCAGCACGACACCCAAGGAGCTGGTGGCACCACGTACACCCCAGAACAGGTCCGAGTTCTGGTTGGCGTCTGCGTCCACAATGGAACCATCGGCTAGCGCCACGCGAATAGACCGGAGGTTGTCTAGCATAGTACCACACTCACGCGAGAGGGTACCAAAACCAGAAATGACCACACCGGTCATGCCAACATCCGGGCAGCGACCATGGGGAAGGGTGCGGCCGTACTTTTTCCACAAATAGTTGACCGCCTCCGAGATCATGACGGGCCCCCCAAACGACAGCAGCTGGGTCGACTCGTCGTACTTGAGGTTCTTCATGTGCTTTAGGTTCATGACCAGAGCACCGTCGTTACGACCGAAGCCCAGGCTCGAGAACGAACGGTTACCGCCAAGCGTCGTCACCTTGACGCCAGCGCTAGCAGCGCACTTCAGAGCAGCCGTAACCTGCTCCTCCGTCTTGGGGAAGACGACACCGGAAGGCTTTGGGCTTACACGCGAATTCCACGCTTCAGTGTCCAATACCCATGAGGACGTGGTAGGAACCGAGACGAAAACGCCAGCCTTGTTCAGACAAGCACTTATGTCGGCCTGAACAGCCCCGGCACCTTCAAAGCCGCTCTGAGCAGGCCCGGTACTTTCAAAGCCATTCTGAACGGCAGCTTCCAAGTCGCTCTGAACAGCCTCAGCACCTGCAAAGCCGCCCCGAGCAGCAATGAGGGAGCAGAGAGCAAAAATGGCGCGACTAGTGCCGGAAATTGAAGAAACCATGGTTTGCCCTGGTACTCGACTTGCTAGAGGCTTGGCTTGAGGGCTTGAGGACAAATGTGGAAGTGGCCAAACTCCTTCCTTTGCTATTCCGTTAAAATTGTGAGATCAATACAGATGAATGTTGATTGCTTACATGTCGATTGCCATACTGTATTATTATACGGTACGGTATACCTGCAGCAACATTTTTTTATTGCTGAGATTTGCTTCAATCGAGCGACACCGTATCAAAACATCATGCAAGTGTCGCAACCTTTGAGCAATCGCACTGGTGCATGTCCACCTCGTTCTTCCTTGTTAGCATATGGCAGAATTGCACTAGCAAATAAGGGGCTTCAGACGTCAACAAGATCGCGAAACGAACACGAAATATGACATCATCAGCTGCTTGAATGAAAGAAAATATTCGTAGGCTGTTGTCCTTCTACCACATATGCCCTAGCTGGCGAGACAACTACACTGGAGTATATTGTTATACTAAAGATTGAAGATGGCAACGACCCCATCTTCGAGAAGCCTAGAATACACAACGTTCTCTGTCCAGCCATAGAAAGCGCCTCCATCTTGGTTGTCGTCTCTTTGTCTTGAATGTGTAGTGGTTGCACGATCAAGACAGTTCCTGTTCTTGACCACGAGCTACCTTGCCATTCATTGCAGAGTACACAAAAGCGTAGAACGCTATTCGTTATCGACCTCAATTGCATTCATATCGGGCTGCAACTCGTGTTAAATACAAGCAAAACACGAACAGAGAATCCAGGGGTGATAAAACTTACTGCTGCATGCAGACACGACAGTGATCTGCACAGACCCTGGCTTCTGGTTTTTGTCGCGTGCAGGCATGTGAAAAGGAACCTCGTCGTTCACGCATTACAGAGCCTGAACAAAAGCTGCTGCGAATGGACGAGAGTTACGATGTGTAAACGTTCTCTTCTTTTTTTCTACAAGCTCTGTTTCTGCTACTCACTGTACCTCTCTGTCTTCTCCGCTTTTTAAATTACCTCGTTACGTCCCCTTAATTAGCCACATGAGGACACATCACTCGTTCGTAAAACGTCCGCTTTTGGCGTATCTAGACACTTGCTGCACCTTTTCCACGTGCCCATTTTTCTGTCATCGTAAATACCACAACGGTAGACCTCCTATTCGTAAAACGTCCGGTTTTCGGTGTTGTTGCTGCACCACGTGCACAATCACGTGTCTTCGTAAGTACCCAACGGTAGACCTCCTAGCTGTCGTCCTTACGGGCGAAACAACTCGGTACCTGAGCTATGAGATTGGAACAGGGGAATTAGTGAACAAGAACTGGGCTCAGCGGATCCAAAAGATTCAAAGGCGACTCCTAACAGCGACACGAGTGACAACCAGCGTGGACAATCGTGTATTAATTCTCAACTCCATCGTGCTTTCTACAGAAATTGCTTGTAAAGATTGTGCAGATCCTTTTCCGCCCATCGTAGTAATTCAAAGATTATCGCAGTGAGTAGTCTTTGTATCGCAGTTAATAGTCTTTGAATTACTACGATGGGCGGAAAAGGATCTGCACAATCCTTACAAGCAATTCCTGTCAGCGCACGCGACAACAACGGAAAGCAGTCGCCACAAGGTAAATCCTGGGCTGCTTCTGATGCCAAAGCAAGCGGGAGGCATCAGGCTAGCGGCTGTTTCGGCAGCGGTAAAAAACACAACGAACAAAGCGTACGATGGCTTGGCTTACTCAGAAGCCGGATAAATACTTTGCTGTTTGGCGAGTATGGGCTTTGGGGAGCAGTCAGGGGCCGGACAAAACAATCGTGACTCCGGCTCAGGCTCAACTACGGGCACCGCCTTGTCGGGCACGCTCGCCAGGACAGGAATTAAAGCAAGAGCTGGGCGAACGGCTCGCCCCGACCACAGACCAACAAGACCAGTTGACCGCGTGGATCCATGCTCGCTCGACGGCTTTACTAGACCGAGTCACCAACTGGTGGGATGGGGACAAAGTGGTGTTGTCGTTCAGTGACCCTTTTCCCACCCACCTACTGGGGTATGATGATATGCCGGTAGAAATTCATAGGTTCTGGACCACCTTATGGAGTGCGAACCCATGGATTAGATAGAGACCAGAGCGGCAACATGCTGTCCAGGACCAAGTATAACAGGATTAACTGCACTTTCGAACATCTTGACCTTTTGCGTACGGGGCCAGCAGGATTCGTCATGCGGGTACCAATACCTCCGGGTCAACCCGGTCCCCATTTGGACGCGAAACTCCGACGGTGGGCAACAGCCCTCCTATTATCATCCCCGGACTTACCCATCGGGACAGCATTGCACTCGACACCGCCACTGCGCCTTCGACAGGCACCACCGAAATTGTAGAACTATCGCTGGAGGATTCTCGGTAAAGGCATAATCGCAGGCCACTTCATGGAGATCGAACATGGCCAAACCCTCTCCGTCACTCTGCACCAAGCTGATGATGGGGTACACTGGTTTTGCCATGGATTACTGCCTGAGCTCATTGACGGTTCGCCATCTGACCGACAGGCGATTGGTAGCACTATTCGAACAGGGGGTCTCGTATTCGAGGCGCCCCCGCAGCTTCATCGGTTCCCTTGGTCTGTGACGGACACAACGTCGAATCACTTCATCACGAAGGTCTCAGGCAAGCAAGCATTCCGATACTACAAAAAAGTATTCACCGGTCAACTTACTTTCGGTTCTCGCTGATCGCCTTTCACAATCGGCAACGACGGATGAATGGCAAAGCGCAGCTCTCCGGCAAACACCGACACAAGTGTGGGACCATAGTTATGGTCTTACTCCATATCAAGTCTCGACAGTGTACCGGGTGACGACAAGACAATTAAATCTGTATACGCCGCGAGAATCGAACACAATAGTTGCAGAAAGACGCCAGATCGCTGCCACAGGAAGGATACCATTGTCCGTCTGTTTTTGGGAATGTGATTGTGCTGCAGCGCTTTTGAAAGAGCTCATTGGTCACTGGACTGGGCAAATCGTCACCCGCCAATTGACCCAAAACTTTCTAAGGGATTACGTCAGTCGACGAAAGAACAGCATACCCAAGTACCGCACAAAAATCCTAGTGGATCGATTTCAGGAAGACGCCAATGAAGCCGAACGCGTCTGGACACAAATTTGGCATGTCCTCGCGACGATATGCCAAGCACGAATTTGAATAAACAGGAATGCAACCATCTTCAAGGCTGTCACACTCCACATTCCCAGCAGCATCGCCACTTTTTGGGCGTCGTGCCTTTGTCAGCTCCGAGCAATCGCAAAGAGAGAGCATCGATAAATTGCTTCAGCCACACGTGGTGCCTTGCTTTATGCTTGCATTGATTGGCTTGAGCGCGACGCTGGATGTCCACCAAGTTCTACGGTGGCCAGCCACGATATACGTCGGGTTATCCGGCGCTTATATCCTGGCTCAGGACTTTGTAGAGACAATCTGAACCTCTCTCTGTATCATATTTATGAATATGAATAGGAGGCCTACACAACGGTGCAGCACCCATCCTCTCGATCATATGTCATTATTCTGAGCCAAAAGAGTGACTTTTTGTGTGGTCATCACATGTAATAATGCTGACCGCCAAGTGCCTCTGTAATCGCGTGTGGTCGGTGTCCCTCGTCCCATTCGGTGCCGCCTCCTTTGCCACTAAACGAAGTACCCGTACCACCACCAACACTAATGCCTCAATCTCTCCCGCTGGTCAGAAACAGCGCCAGCAATTGAATCGTCTTCGTACGACACTTTCCATCAAGACGATGCAGCACCTGCCGCTGCCTTTGACGTCCGTTTCTGATCTTAATCGATTACAAAGGACAGATACTACCACATCTTTCGATTTTGAGGCTACAAAGCGGCAAAAAGAGTTTGCACGGATGCAGCGACAGAAGGAGGCGAGACACGCGCGGGTAAAACATCTGCCACTGTTTCGAGAGGGCTCTGCGCTGTTCCGTCACTTGGGAATGAGGACTCTGGGGGACTATGACAACCTACCGATGACTAGTTTTGATGGAGCTATTGCAGTGATCCACTCGGAGCAAGATGAGCAGAAATATGCAGAGTATCTGAGAGAGCAGAAAGTGGTGGGCGTGGACACGGAAGCGAGACCAGACTTCCATCCGCTAAAGGGAAGAAAGGGTAATCCCGTGTGCTTGATTCAGGTCAGTACTCTGGAGCGGGCATTTCTTTATAGATTGCAACGGGGGAATCCACTGCCTCCAGTACTACAAGAGCTATTTGCCGATCCTCGCGTATTGAAGGTTGGCCACTCGCTGAGCGACGACTTTCGTCAATTAAAGGCGTCGAACCTTGTACAAGCAGTGAACTCGACCGTAGATACACTATATATTGCACACAAGCTTGGATGCAAGCGACCTGGTCTGAAGACAGCGTGTCAGGTGTTTCTGGGTGGGTCGCTTGACAAAGAGATGCAAGTTTCGGACTGGGAAGCTCCTGTTCTGAGCGAGGCACAGATTAAATACGCAGCGACAGACGCTTGGGCACCTATGAGGGGTCAGTTATGATGGAAACGTTTGTTGTGAGCTCATGTGGACTGACACTATGTTGTACTTGTGTAGTCCTGCTCGCAATGATTCAACTAAAGGATACAAAGGAACTGCTACGGACAAAAAGCTACAATTCGTCTTCGCAGACGGTTGTAAATGAGGATCATGATGTTTTGCTTGGAAAATTACTTTCGTTTGCTCTTCGTCATCAGGTTCCCATCATGGAGTAAGTCAGTCGGACGAAATTGATACTTTGAACCTAACTACAATGCTGTTCAGCTAAGGCAGGATTCCTACTAGGGTTACGCTACTCAACCCTTGTTTGCTCTATAATCAGGACCACATTTATAGCATTAAAGACGTCTTGCTCTGGTAAGCATATCTAGTGCTGGTATTGATTGAATATATTGGTATGTGCAGAGATACATGAACTGAGCATAATGGGGAACCATAACATTTAGAGAGATGCCATACTGTAGATCTTATCAATACTAGGGAGAAAGTAACAAACCGTCTATTTCAAACATTAAGGATTGGCAAGATGTCTGAAAAGGCTTCTACCAGGACTTCGTCATTCTTCTTCTCGCTGGCTCAATCTGCTGGCTCGAGACTCCGAGCGTCACGGGGACACTCTGCAAAGGGCACGTGAAAGCGATAATTGCTAGAAGCCATTGGGTGTGACAGGTTCCTTAGGTTTTAAGTGCTATACCGTGGAACGATGTCACCGGCTGTCTGACCTAGCATTCGCCTTTGCTTCAGCCTCGGCGGCCTTCGCCTCTGCCTCAGCCTGTTTCTTTCTAGATTGCTCTTCGCGTAGCTTTTGAAGTTTGATGCGTCTCCAATGCACCAAATTGCTTGTTGTAGCTATCGTCCTTGCCGGCACTGACCAATGTAAAGCCGATTCAGGTGTGATGGCTAATCGCTCATCCACGAAGCGCTGATCTTCGCTCACGCTTTTAGCATCCAGCTCGCCTATGACGGCTGTCTGACAGGTGGGACGACGAGGAGAAGATCGTGGAGATGGGACAGGAAGAGACAGGGCAACAGCTTGACAGTTGGGACGGCCAAGCAACAACTTGACAGTTAGGACAAGGCGATACGGTTGCATTGTGGGACTACCGTACGAGATGGGCAGGTAAGACGAGTGCCATCTGACAAGTACATGGTCAAGCTGCAGTGCAGCTTGGGTGCATGTTGTAGTATTTACAAACGAAAGTAGTTAATGCTAAATATAGTTTACTTTTACTGTTGTTAAGTGGAACTTCGTTTCTAGCCGGGTACTAGATGTACGCCGGTGAAGTCTGCTAGGTAGTTCTAGAATAGTCTATATTGAGGTAGTTCTAGAACGTTCGATGCATAGGAGAATTGTGTGGCAGCGGCAAAGGCCGCTGCACTGAGTAGGATCACTTTGCGATCGGTAAGCCACTGAGGAGGCCCGCGGCGGCGGGCCGAAACGCGTCCGGCACGCGTCCGTAAGTAAAGTCATTTTGTCATGCGTTTTTTAGTTTCCAACATTTACTTCTACCTCTAGTGCAAATAAGTGCACATCTATTTCTTACAGGTTATGAGCCCAAGCAAGCGCGATGCCGGGGAAGCTGCTCAAGCTGGACCTGTCGTGGTAATCGACGGTCCTAACAAGTCCGCTGACAACCACTTGAAAGAAAAGTCGGCAGCGCCCATAGAGACGACGGACCAGATGCTGGATAAGCTCGAGACAAACGGATGAATCGGATGGAGGTTTCTTAGAAAGAGCAAGCGGGATAGGATCGAAAGGGGTCACCGGAGTCAATTTTTGGCTTGGCCTTGGTTGTAGGAGCGGGGACGAGTCTTCAGGCTTTGGGACGTACCCTTCCTCCCAAGAAGTCCCCAAACGTGTCGCCAGCGACGTACTTCGTGGCAAGGCGTCACAATCAAGTAAAAGTTGACGGACGATTGCAGATGACTTCTACATGGGCACGGGACCTGGACCTGTACACCACAGACAGGAGATACCTGCGGGATATTATCTTGGTGCAATATGCCAAACAGGATGTAGGCTCATCCTGGACCGCAGGTTGCGAGCATACCGGACGCACAGCATCAAAATTTCGCGCTACAACCCTTTGATGGCAAAAAACTTCACCATGCCTTGGTAGTGGGTTCCTAGAACGAGGCACGAAGTTTGTTCGTCAAGTTGGGTTTGCAGAGCGTGTGTGCGGATTTACGTGGCCGGATGATATCAAATTTGATGTCCTGGGACAACACCTGGTCGGCAAGGCTCAGACGTATTACCGTTGGCAGGTGGAGATGTGGTGGAGTGGATTCTGAAAATTGTATGATAAGGATCCCAACCACTCACTGTGCCGGACTGCCGACTTCCAGAGGGGGTACCCCGATGACGCGTATGGACCTTCTCTCACCTTGTGTACCCGTCGGGTGGCGGGTTGCACTCTTGGGAAGACTTGGTTAGGATGTAGATAGCTGCCTTAAAAGAGGTAGACCTGGGGGGGGGCTCGAGTGGATATGCTTCACTAGCTGGGCTTGTAGTGTCCACTCGATCGGCCTTGTAGAAAGTCGACTTATAACAAAATTCTCTAGGGAGATTGTCGTCCCTGGCCTTTTCCTTGGAAGTCGAAGGGGGTAGTAACCACCTGACCTTTGCTTCGCTCCTGTACCGTTAGGTAAGGGAGAATGCTTCCGATAGCGGGTCTTTGGGGGTACTCGAACAAACTTACAGGCCAAATACGTCTTGGAGTTCTGTCCGCACTTGAACTTAGCCACACGACTGTCTTTAACGGGGGGGGGGCCAAAACATAACCCTTCCCTGTAACAGGTGGTAGCTTAAGCAAGTTCTTTAAGGACGACGAAGTCGTGCCACGTAGATCTCAAATTTAGTAGCAATAAATATAGTCCTATCCTTTGACTCCTTTAGTCTATCCTTGCTTGAAGCTCTGATTTCTTGTGCTGACTGGTCAGGAGTGGTTGAAACTCGAGAGATCAGGTCTACCGATGAGGGAACTGGTCTAACGATGAGGGATCCAGATCTTCCGATCGGGAATCGAGGTCTACCAATGTTGGACCGGGCCTTCCTTTCGGTACCGTTTAATAGATACCCTAATAAAGATTTCCTCTTTGTTGGTCCTGCAAATTGTTCTCAGCCAACGGTCGCTTCCCCTGTCTCTCCGGCCTCCTCTCCCTGGTGCACGGTCCCTTATAACTCGAATCCACTGGCCTCTGGGGTCCTCACATTTTGAAAAGCACTTCACCACACTACCATAGAAGCATAGGTACCTACAAGATTGATGTAATGAAGACATGCGCGTGCCTAAATTGTCATACGGTTGAGCAAGCAGGAGCCGGCTGTGGTGAAGTGTTTTTTTTAAATGCGAGGAGATCAGGGCGGTTGGGCGGGTTGCACTCTTCTCGGTGGATTTGAGTCGATGCTGATACGTATTGTGTTAGGAATAGGGGGTTTTGACTATCGTGCGGAAATCTTAACACGATCGACTGTGTACTTGTTGTTGATCTTCCCAATATATCCCTATAATCCAATAAAGCCCGAAGCTTGAATCTTCTGACCACTTGAGCAGAAAGCGTAGAAGTGCCAGAGGAATTGGGGTACCTGAGGATATCACAGTAAAGGGGAAAAGAATCCAGGACTCGCAAGGTCCCAAGGTTCAAACGAGGTTCACCAAGAATAGGGTTTCTGTGGTGAAGTGATTTCCTAAATTGTGAAGAACCCAGGGTCCAGTTGGATTGAAGGGACAAGGGGCCGTGGACTAGGGAGAAGGGACCACGCACCAGAGAGAAGGGACCGGAGATAAAGGGAACCTCGCAGTTAAGCGACAGTTGGCTGAGAACGTGAAAGACAAACAAAGGAGAGGTCATTACCAGGGTACTGTTTAACCGGTACCGAAAGGGAGTCGACCCGGTCCCTCGCTGGTAGACCCGGTCCCTCATTGGTCGACCCGGTCCCTCGTTGGTCGACCCGGTCCCTCATTTGTCGACCCGGTCCCTCATTGGTCGACCCGGTCCCTCGTTGGTCGACCCGGTCCCTCATCGGTCGACCCGTCCCTCATCGGTCGACCCGATCCCTCATCGGTCGACCCGGTCCTCGTAGGTCGACCCGATCCCTCGTTGGTCGACCTGGGTCCCTCATTGGTCGACCCGGTCCCTCGTTGGTAGACCTGGGTCCCTCATTGGTCGACCTCGGCCCCTCGGGGTTCAGCCACTCCGGACCAGTTAATACAAGGATCAGACCAGTCGACGCAAGGAATCAGAGCTTCAGGCAAGGATAGAGTAAAGGAGTTAAAAGGATAGGACTATAATAAATACTACTCAATTTGCGATCTACTTGGCAAGTCTTCGTCGCGCTGTAAAGGAACTCTAGTTTGGCCACACGCCTGTTCCGGGAAAAGGGATATATTTGGCCCCCCCCGTTGAAGACAGGCGTGTGGTCAGACACAAGTGCGAGCTGAACCCCACGTGGTACGACTCCGTCACCCAAGAAGAACTTGTTCTAAGTTACTCACTGTTCCGGGAAGGGATATATTTTGGCCCCCCGTCGAAGACAGTTGTGTAGCGAAGTTCAAGGGCGAATAGAGCTTCAGGATATATTTGGCCTGTGAGCTCGTTCGAGTAGCAACACCCCCCAAGACCCGCTATCGGAAGCGGTCTCCCTCACCTCAAGGTCGGGGAGCAACGTAAAGGTCAGGTGGTTAATACCCCTGAAACAGAAGGAAAGGCCAGGGACGACAAGCGCCCCTGAAGAATTTGGCTCTAAGTCCACTCTCGACAAGGTCGATCGAGTGGCCACCTACCGGCCCACCGAGTGAAGCATATCCACTCGAGGCCCCCCAGGTCTACCTCCCTCAAGGCAGACATCTACATCGTCACCAAGTCCTCCGAAGAGTGCAACCCGCCTGCCGACGGGTACACAAGGTGAGAGAAGGTTCATACGCGGCATCGGGGTACCCCCTCCGACAGTCGGCAGTCCGGCACAGTGAGTGGTTTGGGGTCTCATCATACAATTTTGAGAACCCACTCCACCACAATGGTGCGCTTGTCCGGATCTTCGGAAGACGCGGGATTTCACCGCGAGTCCCAAGATGATAAAGATGTTCATGTCAAGAAGGAGCACAAGACCGAGAAGCCACTGGAAGACCGATCGCCAGTGACTTAAGAAGAAACAAACAAAGGATCGAAGGACCGACCGGGCCTTGGGAGGGGCCCGGTCAACATGGTCGAGGTT